AGGAAGTTGAGGTAGGCCTAAGAGGGTAGAATAAAAAGTAAGCACATCATATACTCATAATCCATTATTTTGTACAATTGGTATCTATAATAAAAAGGAATGAAATTTCAGAGCATGGTAGTCAAGGCCTGTAAACCAAGAAGTTGTGAGGCAGAGACAGGTAAATCTTTGTGAGTTCAAAGCCAACCTGTTCTACATAGTGATTTTCAGGTCATTCAGGGCTACATAGTGAGACACAATCCCAAAACAAATAAAAGCAAAAAAAGAAAGAAAAACAAAAAGAAAGAAATGTTAGCTAGGAATATAATATTAATATACATATCAATGAAAATAATTTGCAATCTATAAAGAATGGGATAATTCAGAGATATTGAATCAATATTGGAAACAAAAAAAAAGTAATTAAAGTGATCACCTTTAACAAATGGAGAAAGGTGGGAAAAGAGAGAAAAGACCAGAAGTAGAACTGTTGGTAAATGAAGGCATGTGTATAAGCACCTAGATTTGTGCTTCTTCTTGTTCTGCTTTCCAAAGTGTGCATTCAAATTTGTATTTAAAGTTCTGAAAGCTGGCAGTTCCCAACAGCTGGCCAGCAGGTGAGAGACCTGGCTACAGCCTGCACCACCACTAACACCACCCACTGTATTCTGTTCCCCTAAGACCCACTCTGCCACCCTACCCTACCCACCTCATTATCCTTCCTGTAACCAGCCCTCACCCACAACTCTAGCAGACTACATAGACAAAGGCACAACTCACAAAAAGAACAGGTGATTGACTGGCTTCCAAGCTAAACTGCCCCACTTTCCATACTCTTAGGCACAGGACACAGCCCATGCTCACCCTCAGCAAAGCAGCTGGGCCCTATGATTAACTTCTCTTTGTGGGCATCCCTCCCTGCAACTCCAGCAGATTACATAGGCACAGACACAACCCACACCAGTTGGTAGAACAGACTCCATAGGCACAGGTAGATTCCCACATCAATCAGAAGGACAGGAGAATATGCTGAATCATGGCAACTGAATGGCCATGAACCTTGGCTGAGACAACCCTACAGGACCAGAAGATTTGCTAAACATCAGAAACCTTGGTCATTCTGGCCAAAAGACAATAAAGGAAACAGAAAACAAACAAATCACTCATCCAACAAAGACAACATAAGAATCCACACCAATACATATAATCATCCCAAACTCAGATGTGGTAATACCAGTGTAAGAATATATTAAACGACAGAAAGGACAATATGGTACCACCAGAATCCAGTGATCGTACAACAGAAAGTCCTGAACATTCCAATGCAGCTGAAGCACAAGAAAATAAGCTCAAAAATAACTTGATGAAGATGATAGAGGCCCTTAAATAAGATGAAAAATTCCTTCAAAGAAATAGAGTAAAAAAAAATTAGAAGAAATCAATAAATCCCTTAAAGAAAGCCAAGAAACAAAAATCAAACAGGTGAAGGAAATGGTTCAAAACTTGGAAATTGAAATAGAAGTAATAAAGAAAACACAATCTGAAGGAATTCTGGAAATGGAAAATCTGGGTAAGCAAACACGAACTACAGATGCAAGCATCACAAACAGAATGTAATAGATGGAAGAGAGAATCTCAGGCATTGGAGATACAATTGAGAAAGTAGACTCATTGGTCAAAGAAAATGTTAAAGCCAAAAAATTCCTAACACAAAACATCCAGGAAACCTGGGATGCCATGAAAAGACCAAATCTAAGAATAATAGGGAGAGACAAAGAAGAAGAATCCCAGCTCAAAAGTACAAAAAAAAATATATTTAACAAAATCATAGAAAAAATCTTTCCAAACCAAAAGAAGGAAATGCTTATAAAGGTACAAGAAGCTTACAAAACACCAAATAAGCTGGGCCAAACATGTCCCCTTACCACATAATAATCAAAGCACTAAACATACAGAATAAAGAAAGAATATTAAGAGCTGCAAAGGAAAAAGGCCAAGTGACATATAAAGGCAGACATATCAGAATAACACTGGACCTCTCCATAGAGTCTCTAAAAGCCAGAAGTCCTAGACAGATGTTTTACAGACACTAAGAGTTCATGGATACCAGCCCAGACTATTATACCCAGAAAACTTTCAATCACCATAAATTGAAAAAACAAGATATTTCATGACAAAACCAGATTTAAACAATACCTATCCACAAATCCAGTTCTACAGAAAGTACGAGAAGGAAAACTCCAACCCAAGAAGTTAGCCGCACCCAGGAAAACATGGGCAATAGATAATCTCACATCAACAAAACTCAAAGAAGGAAAACACACACACACACACACACACACACACACACACACACACACACACACACACACGCACACACACACACACACTGCCACCACTGCTATAAAAAGAAATAACAGGTATTAAGAATCACTGGTCATTAATATCTCTTAATATCAATGGACTTGGTTCACCTATAAAAAGACACAGGCTAACAGAATGGATATGAAAAGAGGATCCGTTCTTCTGATGAACACAAGAAACGCACCACAATTTCAAAGACAGACGTTATCTCAGAGTGAAGGGTTGGGAAAAGATTTTCTTTTCTTTTCTTTCTTTTCTTTTTTTTTTTTTTTTTTTTTGGAGACAAGGTTTCTCTGTGTAGCTTTGCACCTTTCCTGGAACTCACTTGGTAGCCCAGTCTGGCCTCGAACTCACAGAGATCCACCTGGCTCTGCCTCCCAAGTGCTGGGATTAAAGGCGTCTGCCACCACTGCCCAGCCGGGAAAAGATTTTCTAATCCAACAGACCTGAGAAGTAAGCTGGTGTAGTTATGCTAACATTTAACAAAATAGATTTCAAACTAAAATTAGTCAAAAATGATGGAAAAGGATATTTGATATTTATCAAAAGAGAAATCCATCAGGATTAAGTCTCAACTCTGAGCATCTATGGCCCAAGTATAAGAACCCCCACCATTAAAAAAAAATTACTAAAGTTTAAAATACACATCAAACCCCACAAATTAATAGTAGGAGACTTCAACACCCCATTCTCACCAATGGGCAGGTTTGCTAGGCAGAAATTTAAGAGAGAAATAAGGGAACTAACAGGTGTTATGATTCAAATACATTTAACAGACATGTACAGAACATACCCCCCAAACACAAAAGAATATCCTTTTTTCTCTAAACCTCATGGAACTCTCTCTAAAAATGACCACCTACTAGGTCACTAAGCCAATCTCAACAGAGAGAAAAAAATTGGAATAGATCTTCCTGTTTACTATTTAGCACTTTCATTCTAAAATATATATAATAAATTTTAGTTGTTTTTACCATTTAATATGTTCTTTTCTTCTTCCCAACAAACCCCTTCTTTAGCTTCTTTCTGTGACTTGCTAAACTAATCAGAATTGCTTGCATCATTGTGGATGAGCACCCCCTATTTAAAATGATGTAAAGTTCCTTGTCATTTATTTAAATTTTGAGTAGTGAATATAATAAGGGTACCACAGAAAAGAGCAAACACTCAGAAATTAGGACTATCTAAGTAAAGTTGAATAAAATTTTAACTAAATGTAGGTTGGAAGTAAGGAATGTCATTGCACAATGTGGCATGCAGCCACCTCACACTCAAGGGACTGAGAAAGAAGCACCTGTGAGGAAGCCACCTCTCTGTGGCACTCAGTCCCCAGAGTAGGAAAGAGTCTGAAGACACAGACTTGACTTCACCCTTCTTCTTCATTCAAGGTACCATTACTGATATAATTCTAGAGTGCAGAATCCATAACTGCTGTGGGATGGTCTGTATGTCAAATTGCTCTGATTGGTCAACAAATAAAACACTGATTACCCAGTGGCTAGGCAGGAAGTATAGGCGGGACTAACAGTGAGGAGAAAAGAAAGAACAGGAAGACAGAAAGAGACGCTGCCAGCCGCAGCCATGACAAACAGCATGTGAAGATGCCGGTAAGCCACGAGCCACGTGGCAAGGTATAGATTTATAAAAATGGATTAATTTAAGCTATAAGAACAGTTAGCAGGAAGCCTTGTATGGCCATACAGTTTGTAAGCAATATAAGTCTCTGTGTTTACTTCTTTGGGTCTGAGAGGCTGTGGGACTGACAGGTGAGAGAGATTTGTCTGACTGTGGGCCAGGCAGGAAAACTCTAGCTACACATAACAAACAGCAGACTAGAAAAATGTGGAGTGAAAAGACTGGAATAACACGGACCTGCGCCCAGCAGCGACGCACTAGGTAAAGCCGGGCGCCGCGGGGTGGACCCCATGGGCACCCGAGGGGGGGCTCCCGAACCCCAAAACCACGGCCGGCCTCGGAACGGCCGTCCGGGGCAGGAGTCTGAGGGAGACACGCCGCCTGACGGGGACCGCCGGCAGGTGGCGCACGCCTTTAAACCCAGCACTCCGGAGGCAGAGGCAGGTGGATCTTTGTGAGTTCGAGGCCAGCCTGGTCTACAGAGCGAGCTCCAGGAAAGGCGCAAAGCTACACAGAGAAACCCTGTCTCGAAAAACCAAAAAAAAAAAAAAACCCTGTCTCAAAAAAAAAAGAAAAATGTGGAGTGGATGTCACAAAGGTGAAATGGATTCTAACCAATACTGTCCCTAACATTGTGAGGAAAGATAAATTGAGAGGCAGAGAGCTAAGTCATTTCAGGAGGCTCAGGGGAGTTTGATCTATGAAAGTCTTTCTTCTGTAGTTGGTATGTTAAGTGAATGAAAAAATTTCTTAATTAAAAAAAGAAAGTCTTTCTCTTTGGAAAAATGAAGATCTGGGAAACATGAAGAAATGGCAAAACAGAAATATTTACACCATGTTTTCAGGTCAAATTGAACTTTTGTCAACCAGCTGAAGATTTGTAATATAAATTATATATATAAATATATAAATATATATATATATACACACATACATACATATATATATATATATATATATATATATAAACATAAACCTAGCGTATGTTACCCATAAGTAATACCACTGTTATTTGCTTTCAGAAATTCACCTCCCAATTTAAATTCACTGAGCATGGGTGTGACCTATACAATTTGGAGAATAAGTGGTATGTGTTTTCAATGGACCAAATTTTTCAGTTTTTATATATAAATTTACCTATGTATGTTTTTAACCTAAAGGTAAACAATAATGTAAAATAGTAGGAGATTGCTTTGAAAAAATTAGGATCCAGTTAAATACAGAGAGAAATTATATGAAATAAAAGCCATCCTGTTAAAAAAACTATGCACCAATTTTATTGCATCAGTTGGAGCCATGCATTGGGACCCCAAGTATCTTCATCATTTCATACAAGTGACTCTGAAAGATTCTGAACAACATGCACATACTCACAGTAATTTCATACTTCTTGTATGTTTGTGAAGTACCAAAAGGAAATGAGGTCTTTAAAATATTTCTCTAGTCATGGTTTTTAATCATGTTTACAGCACTAGCTGTGATTTCCCTCCTTCACAGAAGCCTCAGTTTCAATCAAGAGAGTGGCTTGTTGTCTCTATAAAAAGTCTTGACACTTCTGCACCATAGGCACTACCAGATTGGTAGGTTGGTACTGTAGCAGGGTCTGGTGCTAGATAAGATCTGTTTTTTTCTTTTCCATCAGACTACACAGTGCCTTGCAGTAATATAAAAGCTAGCCAACTGGGAGCTCAGAGTTGTTTTCTCTGTGTCCTGTTTCCAAAGCATGTGGTGTCTTCAGAAATAGGGTCTTATTGAGTTATGGTGCTACTATAATCACTGGCATTAGACTATATTTTTTCATTTGTCCTCCTTACCAATAACCAAAGAAGAGGGAAACTGTGTTTGGCACTGAGATTTTTCACTTAATAATACATGTCTTCATGGAGCAGTATTGTGTTTACTAATGTGGCATAACTCTGTTCACACTCTGAAATAGATTTATCACATGACCCAGATATACCACTCCTGGGCATATAACCAAAGGAACTTATATGTAATTCCAAAGAAACTTGCACATTTATACTTTTTGATTTTATAACCAAATGGCTTGGAATGAAGTCAGTTTAGATGGTTATCAGCTAATGAAAGAACAATGAGAATGCATATATATACATATGCATTATATATGTATTATATAATATATATGTATTATAATATTACTCACATGAAAAGAAAAAGTGGCACTGAGAAACTTTCAGGTAAATGGATATAACTGAAAGAAATAGTACTGAATGAGGTCATCCAGTTCCTAAGACACATTCTGAATGTTCCCTCTCATATTTGGATCCTAGCTTCCAGTCATTTGCATGTTAACCTAAAGTACATGTGGAAACTAGAAATGGTCCATTGCTTGATGGGATACATTGGTGAAGGAGAGATAGCAGAACATAGCCGAGATGAAAGTAGAAACTGAGAATATAGGGAATGGAAGGGTTCAGACAGAAAGTGAAATAATGGAACAGCCAAAAGAAGAGCCAGGGGAAGCCTTAGACAAAATGAAATCTTCGTGAAGAAGTTACATGGACAACAGTGATCTTTCAATCTGAGTAAAAGTATAATAAAAGGGAATAATAAAACTCATGTGATATAAAAGAACAGAGGGGGATGCTTAAGTTTTGTGAGGATGAAGATGAGATGGAAGAGAGGAGAATTAGGGGATGGATCCAAAGTGAATAATTATTGAAAATTTATGAAATCTCACCAGTTACTAAGCTAAATGAAAATAAAACACAGGAATAGGTAATGTGTTTTAATTTAATCAACAGCAGAACACTGTACCAGAAAGCAATGTGAATGTGTGCATGTTTGTGTGAGTGTACAGTTTTGGTGCCATGTAGAGTTTTACACATCCACTAGAGAATCTTGTAATATATTCCCCAGGAATAAGGGAAGAATACTGTAGAGATATAAACATCAGAATACAATCAGAAAACATTAAGTCATTTTCAGTCGTTAAAAATCTCATACCTGTGTATCTTTAAAGGTACAACAACATCATGTAGTTTAGTTCCTTTGTTCTAAATATGCTCTCCTAAATATTCCAGGTAAATTCAACAACTGCTTTAAGATACCTTGTAAACAACCACATAGACAGAGTTCCAAAATACTTTCAAACTACTGACATTTTTTTTTTTTTTTGGTTTTTTCGAGACAGGGTTTCTCTGTGTAGCTTTGCGCCTTTCCTGGGACTCACTTGGTAGGCCAGGCTGGCCTCGAACTCACAGAGATCCGCCTGGCTCTGCCTCCCGAGTGCTGGGATTAAAGGCGTGTGCCACCACCGCCCGGCAACTACTGACATTTGTATACTTGCAGATTTCAGGATATAGATTGTCAGGGTTAATGAGCCAATCTATAAAAGACTATTACAGAATTTTAAATAATGTGTTTGGGGGAGTGTATGTGTGTGTGTGTCTGTGTGTGTATATTTGTGTGTGTTTTAAGAAGAAATTATTCTAATCCTGGCCAATAGTGTTTTTATGAAGAACTTATAATCATTGACTATTTCATAGGATCCATCCCTGGACCACTAATTTTTCACATATCAATACAAGAGTCTTGCATTTACTGGAACTTTAATAAATGTGGAAGGAAAGGACGTTGTTGGATCTACAATAAGTCAAAAATGACCTACATATTGATGGGACTATGTAAGTGACGTAAAGTGTATAAAGTTAAGTAAATAAAATTGTTCTTAGAATTTGTAATTCTTTATAACAGGGTAATAACTATTCATGAATAAATATTTTGTTAATTAAAGGCTTATACAATTGTATAGGAAAAAAGAAGGAAAAAATTGTTATTCTGACTATATGGATAAACCAGATAGAAATTTGTCCTGCAGTATTTATGTAAATACTTGCAGTTTTGGGCTAAACGCACTAGAGTTCTGTGTTATTGTTTAAGAAATGGTGATAATGGTATAATTTCAATTTGTTAACAAATTTTGGCTATACATTTTTACAGCCATATTTATTTCTCTTATGAATTTTTCAATTTTACAATATTAAATATTAGATAATTTTGAGTAAAAATCATTTTTTACTTATAATTTTGAGTAAAAATCATCAAAATCTCTCTGAAGGCTAAACTTCATAATTTCTCCTTTCATAGTAATACTAGACATATATTATGTAATTTTTCAGTTACTAAAAGTCTCACAAAATTACTTAGTATCTTTTTTTCCAAATGTATTTCCACATGTCATTGCCATGCATACAGAGTTCGTGTCTGTCAAATAAATACAAAGCAGAGAGAGTGAACAGCATGTGGGACAAAGATATTAGGTCTCAATAGCATGAGAAAAATGCATTCCTCTTTTGTCCCTCCCAAAATGCTAATCATCTCTTTATCCCAGTATCTTATCTATCTGCTAACTAGTCAGCCACCATCTTGGCTTTAATGTCAATTGCTGTCGTACCCCAAGGCTTGTGTTCAGGTAGCCTTTTAATTTATATGACAACTGCCCTTAAAGTGTGAGAAATGATGCATGGATAGTGGAGAAGAATCACTGAGGGATTCTTTACAGTGAAATAGGAATAAACATCAGTGCTTTATCAGAAAATATCAGATCAAGCTGCTAACAATCAACACTGAGAATGTATCTACCCATGAAACTACAACAAAGGGAAAAGAAAGCCATGCTGATTTAGATATTTTACCTAAAAGGTCAACAATGATGGGCCCAGCACAAGACGAATGTTTACATTTGAAAATGTATTTGTGGGTAAAAGACATGAGTAGGAAACATGTTTAAATTAGTTGATAGCAACCTATTGAACCAGGAAGTTATGTCTGTGTAGGTGCATGGTTGTGTGTGTAAGGTTTAGTGCTATGTACACTTTCACACAACCACTCCAGAATTGTGGAATATATTTCCTTGGGATAAAGGAACACTACTCTAGAGACATGAACAAAAGAATACAATCAGAAAATAGTATATGAAAAAGAATATGAGTTCAGCAGAAATAAAAAAAACAATAAACAAATAAGAACCAATTAGAAATTCGAGGCTAACGAGTACACATAAAGAAGGGAAAAATTTATAACTTCAGTGGCAGGCTTAGTCAAACACAAAAAGAAACCAGTAAGCTAAAAAACAAGTCATTTCAGATTATCAGGTCAAGGAAACACAAAGCAAAAGAGATGAAATAGTGAAGAAAAGCTATAGGAATTGTGGGTCACCGTCTTGTAAGTCTAGTGATGTCATAGACAATAGGCAGCAAGCTAAACAATTGATGAATGGATAAGGACAATATGACATTACATGCCAAAGATACTATTCTGTCCTGAAAAAGAAGGAAAAAATTGTTAGTCTGACTATATGGATAAACCAGATAGAAATCATATATATTATTATTCCATTTTCCATTGCCATAAAATAGTCGAATCCTGTTATTTTATAAAGAATAGAGGTTTATATAGTCCATAATTGGGTAAATTATAAATACTATTAAAATTCTGTGAGGGCTTTTTGGCTGTGTCAGAACATGATACCTGACGTAATAGCTGAAGTCTGTGTGTTAGGGAGCTATCACATTAAGAGACAGGAAGCTAGAAAATGCAGTGCCTAGCTCCAGTGCTACCATGGGAGGAAATCAAGGTCAATTGCTTGTAAAAACCACCCCCCTAGTGTTCTCTATGAGTCTCCCACTGTCCCCTATCTCTTATAAGACTCATCACCATGATCTTAGTATAACAGGATCAAGCTTCCAATGCATGAAATCCAATCTGCAGTAATGCATCCCTGGCCACTGAGATCAGTGACAGTCTCCTAATGTAAAATATAACAATCCCATTCTCACAGTGCAAAGGAACTTGCAGCAACCCCACCATGTTCAGATCCACAGGTTCTTCTGTGACTCATGAAAAGCCCTTTCGGGTAGGAGGTATCGTTTAAAATACATGTCTACAAATTAGAAGTGTGACAGGCACAGGATCGGCACATTTAGTCCAAAGGGAGATGGCAGGAGATAGAGAAGAATACTGAGACTATAAGGAAGAGTAAAACCTGTCACAGCAGATATTGAATCTTAAAATTCCAAACTGATCTCTCACGAACACTGTGGTGAAGGGTGGCCCCCTCAGGCAGCCTTTGCCTATGACATTAAAGATCCTGCAGGACCCCCAGTGTGGTGATATTTTATTTGTGCTGAAATGTGGTGATATTTTATTTGTGCTTCAATAAAATTTGCCTGGGGATCAGAGGAAAAGGCCAGCCATTTTAAGTAAACAAAGTCACACAGCACATGCCCTTAATCCCATCACTTATCAGGCAGGGTCTCTGTGTTTTCAAGGGTATACTAGAGAACAGAGCCTTTCATTCCAGTACCAACCATAGAGACCTGGATGTCTGTACAGACAAGACAGACAGTGACAAGGAAGTGAGGTAGCTGGACCGAGATAGGTAGAACAGCAATGCAATAAAGGCATGGATAAGGCAGGGAGTAACTCTCCTTTTGAAGCTACAGAGTTGGTGAGGTAAGGTTGACTGATGGCTTTATCTATTTCCCTGATCTCTCTAAGGCTTTCACACCTATATTTGGCTCTGTGTTTTTATTTAATAAGACCATTTAAAAATTTGTCTACACCACAGTACATAAATTTTGGTTTGCCTTTGCACTCTATCTACAACTTTCTCTGATGCTGCTTAAAATTGCTAAGTACTCTGGCTGTCTGTTGTCGACTCCAGAGTTTCACCTCCAAAGCTAAACTTGGCATTGCCCTATTAGGCCTGTTCATTGTGGGCTCCAATCTTGTCCAGATTTTGAGCTGGTCTCCCTGGCTTTCTTTTGAGAATTTTGTTGAAACTGTCAGGATCCTAATACACTTGCATTCTGCTCCCCTGGACAACCAGGACCACTTAGTAAGATCTGCTTTCAACATGAGCATTGGTACTTAAGTCTGAGCCAAGGCTACTTAGTGGTACTCGCTTGGAAGCAAGGAGGGAACGTTTCGCTAATCAGCAAGCCCATTCTGAGTTTTGAAGGTTAGCCATTGAAGAATCCTTCCCTAGAAGGAGCAGACTTCTCTCCAGAGACTTCTGAAATATTCTGAAGGCCTGTTTTCATTGTTCTGATGCACAATGATCCACTTCCGTTTAGTCACACTAATCTCATTAGCAAGTGCTTACTGGGCCACACTTATATTTTCTCCTTCCAAACATTTGGTCTTGCTCTTTCCTGACCAGGCTATGAACTCACCAAGTCTTCCCATTGTGTTTCCTTTTGTTCAACTGTGATTCTGAATAAAAACAGCCAATACTACCCACAGCATAGTCTTACTGTTTTATTGTTTAAACTTCTGCCCTCTGAGCATTAAGCATGTGTCTTGGTATTTCTTTGCACTCTTTGTTCAACATAATCAATCCATTTCAGTCTTTGTAAGACTACAGTGTTCAGTCACAGATTATTCTGGGATAAAAGTGTGGTTCTGCACCTCTTGATCCCATCTGCTATGGAAAATGTACTCAAAGTCGACTCCATGCCTCTACCATGATGTTCTCCTCCACACTGGGTGTTCCTTTTTTTTTTTGTTTCTTTAGCTATTAAACATAGGAAAGTATAATGTATTGTCTGGATAGTTTGTGCTGATGTCAGATGAGATTCTTACTTGCACTACATTCTTCTTGGAGGCTATACTGGATGTATTTTTCATAATTTCTCATTCCTTTCTCAAACTGTGCTTCCAAAGGAACATTGCAGTCATTCACTATATATAATTTTCATTTTAATATTACATCTATTTCACAAGTAACTATATCTTTGAGAAGATATCCCTTACGACAGATGAAGTGTTTCATAAATGGAAAAGACTCACTCATGTTTCTTGCCTTATGACGTGGCTGTTAGATAACTGGTATGGTTTTGTTACAACACTTTGACTCTATTTAACAGGTTATTAGCTTTGAAGTTTAATTGCTTTTATGTAATATAATTTTCAGAAGTTTGAGACAAAAATAAAAACTGTAAAAGTAATTATATTTTCTATAAATTAGTATTTATGTGTGGAAAGTGATTAGTATTTTAACACCAAATCTACATAAAGGTTTAAGCAAGTTGCACCTCCTGCAGAGAGTTAAATTTTGAAAATGTAATTCTGTTATGTATTTGTATATTAGCATACTTCATAAATTTGTTTAATATTACTCTTTGTTAGGAAGCTATCTGATGAACGTGAAAAATTTTAAGCATTTTAAATACTTAATTTGGCATAAGTTTATAATATTAGTTATATTTGAACACTCTGACTATTAATTTCTTTTTCATTCAGGTCTTGTTTTCCAAGCAGCCTCAGCCTTTTTTGGTCTCATTGCACTTTGCAAATATGATAGTGTGGTAATGAAAAGCACTGAGAGTCTGGTCCAGCCTGTAAAGAAAGTAAAAGAAGGAGAAGAAGAAAAAGTTTAATTTCTAATTGTTTTTTTCATTGGGTAAGAGTGCACATTTTCCCATTTTCAATGGAATATCATATTGATAACTTTTAAAACAATAACATGTTGATATCCAGTTTTGCCAGCACCATTTGTTGAAGATGCTTTCTTTTTTCCATTGTACACTTTTGGCTTCTTTGTCAAAAATTATATGTTCATAGGTGTGCGGATTAATGTCAGGGTCTTCAATTCGATTCCATTGGTCCACATGTCGGTTTCTATGCCAGTACCAAGCTGTTTTTATTACTGTAGCTCTATAGTAGAGCTTGAAGTCAGGGATCGTGATGCCTCCAGAAGTTGTGTTATTGTACAGGATTCCTTTGGCTATCCTGGGTTTTTTGTTTTTCCATATGAAGTTGAGTATTATTCTTTCCAGGTCTGTGAAGAATTGTGTTGGTATTTTGATGGGGATTGCATTGAATCTGTAGATTGCTTTTGGTAAGATTGCCATTTTTACTATGTTAGTCCTGCCTATCCATGAGCATGGGAGATCTTTCCATTTTCTGACATCTTCTTCAATTTCTTTTTTCAGGGACTTAAAGTTCTTGTCATATAGGTCCTTCACTTGCTTGGTTAGTGTTACCCCAAGGTATTTTATGCCATTTGTGGCTATAGTAAAGGGAGATGTATCTCTGATTTCCTTCTCCACTTCTTTGTCCATTGTATATAGGAGGGCTACTGATTTTTTTGAGTTGATCTTGTATCCTGCTATGTTGCTGAAGGTGTTTATAAGCTGTATCAGTTCCTTGGTGGAATCTTTGGGGTCGCTCAAGTATACTATCATGTCATTATGAAGTACTCTTGTGTGTGTGTGTGTGTCTGAGTGTATGTATGTGTATCACGTGCACGCAATGCCCACAGGTGTCACATCTGGAACTAGAGGACAGATGATTGTGAGTCACCATACAGGGTCTGGGAATTAATTCCTTGGCAAGAGCAGTCAGTGCTCTTAACCACTGAGCCTTTTCTCTAACCCCAGAAGGGTTGTTGTTGTTTTTTTTTTTTTTTTTTTTTTTTTCGAGACAGGGTTTTTCTGTGTAGCTTTGCGCCTTTCCTGGATCTCGCTCTGTAGACCAGGCTGGCCTCGAACTCACAAAGATCCACCTGCCTCTGCCTCCCGAGTGCTGAGATTAAAGGCGTGTGCCACCACCGCCCGGCGACCTCAGTCTGTGGGGAAGGCTTTGCCCTGGAGGAGATGGGAATGAGGGGGGGGGGGGCGTTGGGGGGAAGGTGAGGGGGACGGGAGGGGGGAGAACAAGGGAATCCGTGACCGATATGTAGAACTGAATTGTATTGCAAAATAAATTAAAAAAAAAAAAAAAAAAAAAACAATAACAGTGGATAGTTACATTTAAAAATGTTTCATATAACCCGACAAGTTTAATTATGAACATAATAATATAATGTGTTAAAATTATTGAAGATATTATGAAACATACAATGTTATAACTCTTAAAAGATATTGTAGGTCTTCTCTATCCCCCCTTTTCTTGAAAATAGATTTTTTTCTTTGTAATCTATCCTGACTGCAGTTTCCCCTCCCTCCACTCTTCCTAGTTCCTTCCACCTCTTCTCCCCTCCACATGAACTCCATTTCTGTCTCATTAGAAAAGAGCAGGTTTCTATGAGATAACAACCAAACAGGACAAAAGAAAATGTAATAAGAGAAAAGCCATCACATCAATGCTGGGCAAGGCAACTCAACAGTAGGGAAAGAGCCCCCAAGAGCAAGCACAAGAATTAGAGATCCATTCCTTCAGACACTCAGAGGTCCCATAAAATTATTAAGCTGAAATATAGATAGATGTTTCCTGTCCTGACTGCCTGGTCCAAATACCCGACTCAGAAGCTGAATATTACTTATGAATTCTCAGCCTGTGGCTCAGATTATTACTAATTAACTCTTACATTTTAAGTTAGCACATATTCCTTATGTATGCTCTGCCATGTGGCAGTACCTTTGTTAGATGGCACATTCATTTCCTGATCCCTCTGCATCTGGCTGACGACTCCCGACTTTGCCCTTCTTCCCATCATTCTTAGTTTGGTTGTCCCTTCTATACTTCCATCCTGGATACTGGCCAATCAGTGTTTTATTTAACCAATCCAAGTGACAAATCTTTATAGAATATACTAGGGTTATTCTACAGAATTTCCCCTTTTTGTCTAATTAAAAGGAAATATTTCAATTTTAACATATTAAGGTTTTATAAAACAAAAACAGTTATCAAGTAACAATTACAATTACAATATCCTCAGTCTGCTGGACAAAATCTATTCTATTTTCCCTTCACAGGGAGACCCATGTGTACCCCGAACCCAGATCCTTCCTCTATACATAACTTCTGTGGTAGTTTGAATGAAAATGGCCTCAATAGACTCATAGAAAAGTGGCACTATTAGAAGCTGTGGCCGTGTTGGAGTCACTGTGGTGTTGTTAGAAGAAGTGTATCACTAGGGGGTAGGGTTTGTGATTTCACATGCTCAATCTCGGTCTAGTGTCACTCCCTCTCTTACTGATCCTGCTGATCAGGATGTAGAAATCTCAGCTACCTCTCCGTGACCATATTTGCCTACATATCACAATGTTTCCTGCCATGAGGACAATGGACTAGACCTCTTAACTGTAAGCCAGCCCCAATTAAATGCTTTTCTGTATAGGAGTTGCCATGGTCTCTTCACAGCAATAGAAATCCTAACAAAGACAACCTCTCTGGGTCTACAGATTGTAGGTTGGTTAATACTTATTCAATGGCTAATATCCACATACATGTGAAAACATGCCATATTTATCTTTCTAGGTCTGGGTTATCTCACTCAGGATGATTTCCTTTAGCTCCATCCATTTGCCTACAAATTTTATGTTGTCATTTTTTAACAGCTGATTTATACTCCATTTTGTAAATGTACCACATTTTCTTTATCAATTCTTCAGTTGAGGGATGTCTAGGTTATTTTCAGTTTCTTGCTTTTATGAATAAAGCCACAGTGGACATGGTTGAATAAGTGTCCTTGTGGTAGGATGAAGCATCTTTTGGGTATATATGCTCAAGGTGGTAGAGCTGGATCTTGAGATTGATTGAATCCCAACTTTCTAAGGAACTGCCATGTTGGTTTCCATAGTGTCTGTAGAAATTTGCACTCCCACCAGAAGTGGATGAGTATTTCCCTTATTCCACATTCCTGCCAGCATGAGCTATCACTTGTGTTATTGATCTTAGCCATTCTGACAGATTTAAAATCAAGTCTCAAAGTGGATTTGATTTAGAATTCCCTGAGGTCTAAGGATGTTGAACATTTCATTAAGTGTTCCTCAGCCATTTGAGTTTCTTTGATAGAGAATTCTGTTTATATCTTTACCCATTTTTTAGTAGAATCTTTTTTTGTTTTCTCCTTTAATGATTCTTTGTGAATTTCCCATCATATATTCGATCCTACTTATCTCCCTGTCTCCTTGAATCTGCCATCTGTCCCTGCAACCTTCCCCAAAACTAACCCCGCAAAAGACCCAAACAAATCAAAGAAAAAAATAACAAAACAAAAGCAAAAACAGAAAAACAGAAGGATCTTGCTGTGGAAGTTGTAATGTGACCTGTTGAGTCACACAGTTTACACTTTAGTCCCTTCATCTTTACTTGCAAGTGTTCATTTGCTGTGAGTCATTGGTCTAACTTGAGACATCTGGTTTCTGATGTACCACAAATAATGGGCTTTCACTAGGGCTCATCTTGGATATCCTGTTGTCCCGTGTCATGGAGATCCTGCTGTCTTGGATCTATTTGTACTCTTCTATATGTAGACATCCAGTTTGAGCTGCACCATGTTTTGAAGATGCTGTCATTTTTGCAATGACTGTTTTTTGCGTCTTTATCAAAAATCAGGTGTGCCTAGGTGTGTGGATTTATGACTACGTCTTCAATTTGATTCCATTGATCAATATGTCTGCTTTTATGCCAATGACATTTTGATTTTATTACTGTATCTCTATACTAAAATTTGAAATTGGAAATAGTGAGACCTCCAGCAGTTCTTTTATTCTTCAGGATTCTTTTAGCTATTCTGGGTTGGTTTTTCTTGTGCTTCTATATGAATCTGAAAATTGTAGTTCAAGATGTGTGAAGAATTGTGTTGGCATTGTGATTGGGATTGACTTGAATCTGTAGATTGCTTTTGATAGGATGGCCATTTTTACTATATTAATCCTACTAATGCATGGTCATGGGAGATCTTTTGGTCTTCTGATATCATCTTAAATTTCTTTTTTGAAAGATTTGAAGTTTTATCATACATGTCTTTCATTTTCTCGGTTAGAGTACCCCAAGATATTTTGTATTATTTGAGGCTATTGTGAAAGGAGTTATTTCCTAGTTTCTTTCTCAATCCCTTTGTCATTTCTATGTAGGAGGGCTACTGATTTTTGTGAGTTAAGTTTGTATCCAGCTACTTTTCTAAAAATGTTTATCAGCTGCAGGAGTTACAGAGTTGAATTTTTGGGTTCACTTATGTATGCTATCATATCATATGCAAATAAAGATTCTTTGACTTCCTTCTTTTCAATTTGTATCCCTTTGATCTTTTTTCAGTTGTCTTATTGCTCTAGCTAAGACTGAACAAGTATAGAGAGAGTGTACACCCATATATTGTTGCTGATTTCAGTGGAAATGCTTTGAGCTTCTCTCCATTTAACTCGATGTTGGCACTAGTCTTATTATAATTGACCTGTCTTGTGTTTATCCATATCCCTTGTATTCCTACTCTCTCCAGACTTGTATATGAATGGTATTGGATTTTGTCAAAGGCCTATTCTGTATCTAATGAGATGATAACATAGTTTTTTTTTTCTTTTAGTTTGTTTATATGGTGGATTGCATTTATTCATCTTCATATATTGAACCATTCTTGCATCTCTGGGATGAAGCCTATTTGATCATTGTGGATGATCTTTTTGATATGTTCTTGGATTTGATTTGAAAGTAT